AGGTTGGTAGATATGCTCATGAGCAAAGGTTCCCTGCAAGTAATCATAGCCATCCCAGCTGTCAAGTTACGCATCATATGATGAGCTGCTATTCTCATTCGAGATTCCTCAGAATCCAGGGCAAAATCCTTCCTGACTATTTGCTCACAAGTAGTCATGGCAATCTTAATTGAACGATCCACCACAGGATGGACCAGCTCTTGGACAGCTCGTTCAATTGCCTGGCGTACACACTGCTTCAACTGTGGATGGGCCTGAAACAAGGGAATCTATGTGGGGAAAAACAAGTTAAGTCAACAGCTTGTTTAAAATGAAACAACCCAATTTCAATCAGTAACCGTACCTAGGATTATGGAATTATTACAAGGTTAACTACCAATTTCCACTTTAAAATGAAACAACCCAATTTCAATCAGTAACCATACCCAGGATTATGGAATTATTACAAGGTTAACTACCAATTTCCACTTTCAAATAATCAATGAAAAGCTTAGGAAACAAGATCAGCTACAAAATACCTAGTGATACATAACGTCTTTCATGTAAAATTTCTTTTTAATTTTAATGGGCAAATTGTTCATTACAAGTTACATTACCTGCATAAAGATACACTACTAGATTAGATAAAATTTGTGGCTCAGGTATTCTTAAAGTAACTTCTTTAGCAGTGTGTGGAAAAGCAAAAAAGAATCAAGTATACAGAGAAAAGGCCTTCCATAAAAACTAGTATTGCTACAAATAATTCCTCAAAATATTGGGCATTTCATAGTACCCATAAAGCCTTTTGTTTCACTTTGAAGAGTTTCTCGTCTCTTGCCTCTGGTATAAACTATGTACCAATATTCACTTGTTTGTCCTCAAATTACTGAATTTGTAAGAGTTTACTCCCCTAGAGACTAAGTACCAGATCTGGGGATGGGGGGAAAGACCAAGTTAAAATAATCTTGTTAAAATTCCTTCAAGTCCTTCAAATACCAAAACTCAATTAATTAATGTTACTCTTATATTTGTGAACATTTTCAGTTTCTAAAACACAAGTACCTGAAAACTTCAAGTACCTGATCCTAAAACAAGTAAGTGTTAAACAGAAAAAACACTGAAGGTAGCCAAGTTGTCACCTGGACTATACAGAGTAAATACTACCTTTAGGGGCAAGAAAAGGACTGATGGAATGTTATTTGGTTATGATCCTAGATAAGACTGCTTCCAAGAAACATAACTGAAAGCACTAAGTTCCACTTCAATACCTTGGCCTAAAGATTTTATAAGCACCCATGCGCCCATGCGTGCGCATGCAACAAATGCTAAAGTACACACACACACACACACACACACACACACACACACACACACACACACACACACACACACACACACACAGGAATCAGCTCAGTTCCAGCTATCAACAATTAACAGCCTAGTGAGCAGCTAAACTGACGCAATGAAAACAAGAAGTAAAAAGTTACGGTACACACTAAGGATCTCCAGATTTAATTTGTACTATCATGGGTTGTGGATATGAGGAATTAATATAAATGATATCTATCACATCGTTGCAGAGAAGGGAAAAAACTCTCAGTTGTATAGCAAGTCCTTGAAAACTGTTTTTTGGTACAATACACGAAAAACTTCAATCATGGCTGGCGCCATTATATCTTGACTCACTTAAATTGGCAGTTTCCTAGAATCTATCATGAAAGTTAAGTGAGAACTTAGTTAACTACACAGCAGTTCCCAAACCCTCCATCCTCTGCAACAGAAAGTTTACAACTTAGGAATCCAGAGCAAAAGGGAAAAGAAGGTGATCAGTCTACTTCGTGACAAAGCAGGTAATGGGAAATAGGGAAGTGTTTACTTACTGTTGGGTTTAGAGTAATGTGTGGTGCCAGGCCTGCAAGGGAATAGACATTGATGTCATGGTAGCTGTACTGTGGCTGTGGTGGAACCGTGGCTGTACAGGTGGTACTGGTAGCTGGTGTTGTAGAAGTTGCTAAATGTGAAGAGATTAAAGCAGCAGCTGATAAAAAAAAAATCAAAGGAGGGGCCATGCCACATTAGCAGGCCAAAACCTTATTAGATCATGCTTTATCACGGATGTCTAATTTCAACCTAGGCTGTTCCCTGGTTCCACCATGGGATTCTTAGATCCTGAGGATTAAGAGGAAAAGAATAGCTTGTCTATTCTAACCACAACTCCTAATCATTCAAAATCCTTGCAGTATCCTCCCCACATTTCCCATCCTGTTGAACAATAAGTAATAACCCACTCACCCTTAGCAGTTCTAGCTAGTCTGGTTTCCCCAGATTTGAGGAACAAGAGGTCATCATTCCATGCAATTCTTAAGCCATCAAATAATGCAAAAGACAAGCTGGCTTAATCAGGTTGTGAAGGACTAATTAATGACATTAATATCATGAATTACTCTGTACAGATTCTAGCAAGGTGAGACAATGCCTCCATATCCCTGATTTTTCCTTAAGAATTCAAATCTGCAAAGTTTCAGCACCACATATGTTGGACCAAAAAAACTTGCTATACGCATGGAGATTACCATTTAAGAGAACACTCTGGTAAGAAGAGAACTAATTATCATACTTACTTGTGGTGGTGATGGGAGGGAGTTCTTCTGGCTGCTTGACATCTTTCTTTGGAGCAGAGAGCTGCTCATCTAAATTCTTTAGGCGATCTTTATCCTTTAGGAGGTTTCCAGGTTTCAGTTCATTGATATCTAATGCAAGGTTCTTGCAGAGGACTTCAATCTCAAACTTCAAGTTTAACTGCATAATTTCAATATTTGTTTAGAATTTTAAAAATAAAAATTTAGCTTTATTCATAATATACACTACTCAGAAAAATAGAGTATTTGGGGAGAAGTACTATAAAATTTCATAATGTGAAAGTAGAGAACATTCTAAAGGATGAGGAAGGATAACAAATTTACCTTCAAGTCATGTTCTTGATGTAGCTCAGCTAATACATTCATAATTGCCATTGTCCAGGGGTTGGGTGGCCTAAAAACCTAAAGAAAAACTATTAAGTTAAACTTCAGTCTTCAACTTGTATTGTTCAAAAACAGTTCAAAACTTTAAGCTTTGCATTTTTACTTGTATTTTTTAACACACTTAAGCACTTATACATATATGGCTGTAACAAAACTCCTAGTATCCCTATCTATATATATCTATATATATATATATATATATATAGGAAGAAAAACATCCAAACTCAAAACCACGCATTACAATCAGTTCCATAAACCTATTCTGATTCTCAAGATGAAAATTAAAGTTAATAAGGAAAACTGAACTTGATTTATGTTCATAAAAATAAAGGGTATGTTCTATCAATGTTGCACTAAAAGATCAAATTAGCTATCAATAAACATAAAAATCTACTCACCACACTACGAATGCTAGACTCTAAGACTTTGGCAACAAAGGGCACTACGTAGAGCAACTCTTGCTGTCCTTTAACATAAGCTTCTAGCAGCAAAGATTTTACATCCAAGTCCTAAAAGAATAAAAATATTTTTAAAAGTTAGGAATATACTTTAAAACCCTCACAACATCCCAAAGAAAGGCATCTTGTCAGGTTCATCCTAAAAATAGGAATAAATATAACAACTAACTCTTGCCTTACAAAAAGAAGATGTGTCAATTTTAATGACTTCTGTTTATTCTGTTAAATGATGTGGGGTCATGAAGATGTGATAGGATTCAATATACGGGCCAAATATATTTCTCATAAAATACCCAATAATCATTAAAATAGTCTCAAATAAAACCAAAGTTTCAGATATAATATGCTGTATAAATATTTTCAAGTTTTATATGAGCCTTTAGCAGGAACTCACAGTATGTAAGATGGGTTTATTTTTAGCGAGTGTGATCATTCCTAGCCAATGTCCCAAGTTCTTCAGCAGAGAGCGATCAGAGAAATTGGCTGCAGCTTTATCAGAGGTCAGGAGCACCTGAAATAGTGTAGAGTAAGTATGAAAATATGCTTGTAAAAAAAAAAATTAACTAAATGTTTGAAAATTCCATTACTCTAGTTAAAAAATAAGCCATCAATTCTGCTAACATGCTCCTATATTAGATCTACTTCACTATCATAGCAATATCATCTGCTGTGTTCATTAAGCAATAGTGCCTTAAAGTACTTACATTTTACTTTGTGAAAAACTATAAAATACAAAGTACACAAGATTAAGAATGTCATGTATGGTCACAGAAAAGTATAAAACCTTGAGTTTTACATCTGACATAGATCTATTTTGAAGAGCTAATCTGTTTTGCAAATCTACTTTGAAGAGGTAAATTTAATTACAATGAAGACTTTAACTGTGCCTTGTGTGTGCCTTAAGATAACAGGTTGGGTCTCCTTGGTAGCCTAGGGGTTAAGTCTTGGCGCTATCACAGCGAGGGCCTGACTTTGATTCCCAGCCAGGGAGCTGACCCACACATGGCACAGCAGACCTCACCTGCCTCACCCGCTGCTCCCCTTAACAGTGTATTTCAATAAATCTACCTGTTCTACTCCCTACCTGTCTCTGGAGAATCTTCTCACCCCCCACACCTCTGGCCTACATTCCAGTTCTTCTATGCAAAAATAAAGTCTTTTAAGACAACAGGTTTATGTAACCAAGACTACAGTATCTATTGCAATCTTTAGCACAACTTAGGTCTCTACACATCTCTGGAAACATCTAAGATAACTTTCTAAAATACAGTATATTATACTGTTTATACACTTCTCATACTTCTAGAAAACCTAATCCATTTTACTAATTTTCTAAGTATTTGCTTTCCTCGGGGGTAGAGAACCATCACATGAGCATGCTTATGCTTCCCACACATCCCTCTCCACTACATGGTACCTCTTAACCTTTGACTATATTTAAAATTTTGTGTAGAAAGGATCTTGGGAATTTTACTCCAGAGTATGTGGAAACTATCAGAAATCCCAACCATTTTTGCTATTAAATAAAGGCTGAATAAAGAGATGTTCCTTAACTCTGTATACCAACAGCTGATTGGCAAAAAGTCAGCTGTGCAAAGAAGAGTCAGGAATTCTTTTGCACTACAGCGTAACCAAGAATGGGGGAGATTCCCATCCACAGTTTAAATATAGTGCTGGTTCCTAAGGCAATGTCCCAAGGTAATCAGCCAAGAACGATCACAGCTGTATTCTAGATCAAATTTCTCAAAATTTCTCAAAAAGCTATTCCTCCAAAGAAACAAGTGCACGAAGATGCTTGTTTAAAATACTGTTTAAACACTTGTTTAACTATTTTAAATACTTGTTTAAAATAGACATTAAAATACTGAATTAAATTTTATGAAACAAGGGTTATTTCATTAGGATGAGTCTGACAAACTATGAGAATCCAAAGAGCTATCCTACAAACAGATCTGGAGTTCAGAGATAGCTGCCTTTTAACATGTAAGTGAAAACATTCACTGCAGCACTGTTTTTATAATAACAAGTTTTTAGCAACCTAAAAATTGTTAGAATTTTAAGTCCATAGAATGGATTTCTATAGGACTGTTTAAAAAAAAAAAAAGGGAATAGACCTAAAAGCATATTGCAAATAATAATAATAAACCAAGGGGTGATGCCATACAAATAATGTGCAAAGCAGTATTGTTTGTGTGGACAGATGATAAAAGTTTAAAACGATGCAAGGAATGTTGAAAACAAATTCAGAAGAGTGGTTATTTTCAAGGTAAACCATACATAGTTTGTCTATAACAGAATTTCTTCAGGAAATTCACTTCTCTATCTGAAACAAACTCTACGGCAACTTTCATAGATACCTAGTATAGACAGATAACACCAAATATGGGGAAAACAGCAAGCACCTTAACAATTTACCTTAACAATCACACATTTCCATATTCAAAGCAGTAATTGAAAACGAAATAGAAGAACTCTTACTTTAATGTTTCTATAGGTTTCATTTAGAACCATCTTGTTAAATTCAGGATTCTTCAGTGTGTCAAGGAAGTTTGAATACAGGCTATGAAAGTTTGGCTCAATACTGACTCTCTTCATAACCAGGTACTGTGAAACCCAAGGCATAAATTCTTCCTTCACAGTTTCCTTTAGTTCTTCAACCTGGTTAGCCAACATAATATGGGAAGTACACAAAATATGATAAATATGGTTTCATAATTTGTTTCTGTGAACTAACTTTAGCACATAACCCTTTGCATAATTACACAACAAACATCATGCTCCATCTTCCCCCCAAGGCAGAGATGCTATGAAGTATAGTGCATTCAGTTCTGCATTACAGTTAGTCATGCCTCAAACTGTGGGTGATTAGGACTGAACACCTATAATCACTTTCAGCTTTAAAATTATAAAAAAAAGTAGTTTCTCAGCCCCATCACCCCACTCTCCATTTGACCAAAAGAGAATAAATTTACAACTTGCCATTAACAGAACTATCACCAGAGCTATGTTTTCCTAAATTTCCATTTCCAGGAATCATCTCTTAAGTCTGTAACTACTCTTCTAATTCTGGTAGGATTTTCAAAGACAGTTCTTGTGTTATATCTTCAAAATTCATTTATTAAAGTAACCCTGTGACTAAAACAGGTAATTTCAAATGTCTTAGCACAGAACCTCATAAAGCAAACATCATTCCTTATGCTTTTCACAAAGTCTACCTCAGTTATCAGGTACCTAATAAATACTCTGAATGGTCATTGGGAGGAACTGCGTTAAGACTAGAAGTACTGGTGAAACCTGCTATCATTATGGTATCAAGGTTGTTACTGAAAGCCTGTAAACTCACTGCAAAACAATACATTTAAAACAAGTGTTATTTAACAGCTACTAAAACCACAACCACTAGTGGTATATCCACATTCCCTTCATTTTGCTTCTATTACCCCTCTACCTTTAGAGTATTAAAAAGGGTGCAGAATGTCAAAAATAACTCCCCCATTCAATATGGAAAACAAGAATGAATACACAGTGATATTATATCATGCTCACCTTTTGAGTCATATTTGACTGTGAGAGATTGTTGAAGATAAAAGCAATTTTCTCTTGAATATTTTCTGGGGGCTCCACAATTCTCTCAGTTTGATCGGTGGCCACAAGCAACGTATCTATATTTGTAGTATTAATAGAGGGCTATAGAAATAAAGTACATAAAATATACAAATTGAAATACTGGCTTGACAAATCCCAGGAAATAATGTAAACAGAATTGTTAAGTACAAAAATGCACGTGGTGTGTGTGACTATATATTGTAAAAGTTTGGCAAGGATCTATGTTAATCTATTTATAGTGGCTGCTCTGGGAAATATGGGAAAGGAAGATATAAAGGGCCAAATGCTGGTCTTTGTACCTTTTTTAGTAGGCATGTGTTACTGTTTAAATAAAATTAAAATACCTGGTCACTACTGGCTGTACTACAACAAAATAACAAATCCTGGAAAGGAAAACAGATAAACCTACTTACTGGCACATCTTTCTTAAAGCTGACTCCGGTTGGCCTGGTGACTGTAACCGTTTTAGCAACAGTGGTGGTTGTCGAAGTGGTTACCATGGTGCTAACCTGACCAGCAAGGGGAGCTTTTGCTGGAATCTGGGCCTGAGCCTGGGCTTGAGCCAGTGCAATACTTCCAGGGGTTGTGATAGAGCCCTGCATTTTCACAGGAGGATCTCTAGACTGCTGTCCATACTCAATATACTATAGGGGTAAGGAAAGGGAAACACATTAATAAAGAGTTAATAGGAATTGAATATTTTGAATTACATTCCCCTTGCTTTTGAAGGTAGGTATCATTTCAGATTACTTTTGTTCACTTATCTATCTTCCTACTTCTTGCCCTATCTTAATCCCTATTCCCACACAGTGACTATACAAGTGAATACCATGGTCTCCTTAGGAGCTAAAGTATTTGAATATTTTGTAAGTATTTATGGGAGAAAGAATCTAGCAAAACAAATTCCTAAATAAGGAACTACAGTTGCCTATACATAAATTTTTTAAATCCCTTAATACATGTAATCCTTATAATCTAAACATTTATATAGTAAACTGATCTCTTATTTATTTGCTGATAAGAAACCTAATGCCTAAAAATCACACTGCAATGAGTTGTATCTCTCAGTAAAGCTAGTACTACTAAATAAAAACACGAATGTATATATATATAGACAAGTCATCTGGATGGTAAATAATGATATTGGATGTTCTAGGCAGTTTCTCTAGAAACTGTCCCCACTCCCTGTCCCACCCGCTTCAAAGATCAATAAACCTCCCTTTCACACTCGTGCATTAGAGAAAGGATATAGGATTCCCAATACTATTTAAATAGTCTTTACCTGGCAAAACAAAAACTACTATCTAAACATACAACAATTTTATTCAAAGGACAAAATAAAGAAAGCACAGTCTTTAAACTGGCCAAGTATAGCAATATAAACAATGACCACACACCCTCTCTCTCTAGCTATCTTGTTACGAGTACTAGGGACCACTGGCCACTGCTCTTTGTGTGATTATTTCCACAACATCTCTCTCCAAAGCCCACATTCCCAGTTTTGAATTCCAAACACATTTTACTGTGGCAGGCTTCTGGCCAACAATCCTTCCTATCTTTTCAAAACCCTGCTTTCCTGTGTAGTTTTTAGTATGCTAGTTACTGCATATTTCCCCAACCTTCTCCCTTAACTGAGTATATCCTGCCTCCCACACTCCACTGATTCCTAGGTTAAGCCATCACAGTAACCCTTTTTTTGAAAACACAAATCCAACATGATGAGGCAGAAAACACTGGAGTAAATTAGCATTTAGAATTATAGTAGAATCAAATTCTGATCTCTGATTCCTTAAAATGGGTGTTATAAAGCCACCTATCTGCTTTTTAATTTTGTAAAATAGTTAAAGATTAATCAATTTTCATGTTTTCTTTATAAGCTGACTGTAGACCAAAGGCAAGACAAGGGTATGAACAATGTTAACCAAGCAACTTCAAAATCAGCCACAAAAACAATAGCTGACAAAAGTTCACGAATCATCAACACAAGGTGGCTTAAAGATGTATAGTCTCTACATCCATTTCTTTCCATTTTAACAAGTGCCTCAAATAAATCCAAGGAGGTAGCAGGAAAGCTGTATTTTTAATAAACACTGGTATGCCTTATACGAAATAGCGTTGATTCATATTAACATGTAAATCAGAGAAAGACTTGATTTAAAAAAAAAAAAACCTATTTTTAATCTAAAATTCCCATTTCAGATCAGATCCCTTTTGGAATCAGGGTATCATATTTAACAATATTAAATGATATTTATTATTTAATAATATTAGGTAAAAGTCTTTTACAAAATCTGCTTAGAAAAGACATCATCCAGTGACTTTTTTTCCATGTATTAGTAAGCAGCGAAATGAGCAACAATCATTAACATCAATCACTAAGAATTCTTAATGCCACTTCTAGCAAATTGAAAATCAACAAATGAACTTTTCAACTTCTAGAGAGGCTTTAGGTTTTAAAGACACTTACCTCCTGTAAATGATGTGGAAATTGCATAAAGTGACTGATAGAAGCCAAGTGCTGACAATACTGTGGATAGTCCTTCAATCTGCCAACAAAACCGTTCATTCATTCATATTTCATTTAAGAACAAAAGCCGCACAATTACCATAAATTTTCTTCCAAATGCCATTGTGGGTTACCTCTCCCATCCTATCTATGAAATATCTTATTTATAGAGAACGTCAAAGAGAACAACATAGAAGTAGAAGGGGGAAATATTTATGAACTTCATCCCTTTTATATTAGAAAGTGGTATCTTTGTTTTCTAGAGGAACTAGTTTACTCAAAATTAGTGAAACAGCAGAACCCCTGTCTGGAAACATCTCTAAATGTTCATTGACAATGTAAATGGAAAAACAATTTGTAGTTAACCCATATAATAAAATATTACTATTCAGCAATAAAAAGAAACTACTGAAATATGCAGTGACACTCATGCTGAGTGCAAGAAGTGAGAGTCATCCACTGTGTGTATGATGCCATTTAAATATCACCGGAAAAACTAGACACAACCCAGATCAGTCACTGCCAGGAGACATAGTTAGGGGAAGAATACTAGCCACAAAGGGAGAGCAGGAGGGATTATAGAAATAGTCAATATCTGATATTGATAGTGGTTAAGTATATAAATTTGTCAAAAAATCAAAATCAAAGAACTATACACCTGAAAATGACAGATTTCATTGTATAAAGTATACCCCAATAAACAAATAAGAAAAAAAACCCACTATCTCATTTTTTATCTTTCCTATTACTTAGTTGGTAATTAGAATGAATTTAATGGCTTTCATTACTTGTACTCATAATCATTAAGATTAATTTACATATGTATGATGATGGGGGCCAACCAAGAATTGACAAATGACAGTTATTATTTCTCATTATATTAAAAGAGAAGCTTTAAAGGAAACCTATCCACTTACCTATTTTTAAATCTATCTAGTGCAGCAATCCCGAAATAATACATTTTGGATCCAAAAGGCTTGCGTAAGGCTTCGAGAACATACCGCAGGGCCAGACCTAGTGCCATGTAAGTGACCAGTCCTTTTTCGATTATCCCCCCAAAAAGGCAGGCTGTTATATGTAACTCTTTATCAGGATATTGGGGAAAAAACCGATACTCTTCAAACAAATTCCTCAGCATACAATTAAATACTTCTCGTTCTCTCTTTATGGTAGAGTCTTTAAATCTCTGTAGCATTTCTAATACCTGCGAAAAGACAGGTAAAAATAACACACACAAAAAGATCAAACATTTTTAATAGAAATACTGTTAAGCAGAATATTTAACAATAAACTTGTTAAGTATTGAAACATGTTTGAAAATGTGCAGAGAAATATCGAAACACTTTGAACTGGATCTCTAAAAACCTTGAAAAAAGCATTTATTCAAGATTTACCTAAGCAAAGGATTGGATCATCCTGGGTACTCACCTCATCAACAGACATGGTTGGATGTGGTGGGTGATTATATATTCTCTGGAAATAGCTGTTTGCTTCATCATCTATCTCTTTACTAAAGTGCTGGTTTGCCTCTGGCCATACCTGAGACAAGTCCGCTGTTAGAAACAGAAAAGCAACCAGTAGACATTTAAGCTTTCTCTACTCCTCCACAAAACACACAGAGACCAATATAGTTTTAAATTTTGAAGGAAAAAAATAAAGAACTGAAGAAAGTATTAAGTAGCAATTTCAATATCCAAGTGTTCTAAGTAGACATAAGAGTTTAACAAAATTGTCCTAACAACTGTAGCTCTAGCTTATTACTTTTTTTCATCAGAGAACTAAGTACATCATGAAAATTCCCTAGTTGTAAATCCCTGATGCATTTACCCTCAAAAAAATCTCACTCAAGTTTAGTAAGTCTCTACCATTTTATAATAAAATCACATTTAACATAAAGATTTAATAATGTATGTGGCATGACAGACTGATATAAACACAAGCATGCTACAAAACATAACATTCAGACAAGCCTTGCATGCTAACATTTGCAAGTCATTGGTACCCTTCAAATCTGGTATGAATATTTAGTCCCAATGACAGGAGAGAGATTTATAAGACAATGATACTAATATATTCATAAAAAAGACTTCTCTGATTATGAGATAATAACTAAGGAAGTTAACCTTTTAAAAACTGTTTTGGAGGTTTTATTTTATATATATGGGCGTATTCTATAAGCATATGTGTGTGTATATATATATATATAAAATAAAACTATTACCTTAAAATTAATTAACCACCTAATGTTTTTTTCTCTTACTATACTTACTTCTTTCTTTTAGGATAACACCCATAGGATGATTACCTCTTATTAAGTGTCATTTTGTTCTGGCAATCTAGATCAAAGGTGGAGTGATACCTCAAGTTTTTGTTTTCATAAATCAAATGTGTTAATTTACTTCCACTTATTTAGGAGGACCTACTAACAATATATGAAGTCGATGTTTCTGTCCATGTTAACTCTAGGGACAACTATTGAACATAGAGTAAAAAAACTGCATGTGCATCAGTCACACTTCACAATCACAGACAACACTACCACTTACAAGGTTTCATCTTACTCTGCTGGAATGTAGGCTGGTTCAGTCCAGAGGTGCCCAATTTCCTCTGTACAAAAGGATCGTTATTCACTGCAGGGAGTCCAAGAGCCCCAGTTCCTATACCAGTCAGGCTGCCTGTACCAAGACCACCTACTAGAAAGAATGAAGGCAGCCAGAAATCTTATCATTACTTATATCCTTGACTTTAATATGTATCTTAGATATCAATTCCTACTTAAAGTCAGGGTCCTCCACTAATTTTCTTACAATGTCTATTCAATTTTATAGAGAATCTAAATTCCTAAGAGTAGTAAAAAATAGACATCGCCAAAATTTCTTCAGCATTTATAATTAATGGTTCATTTACATTCTTGGTAAGAGTTCTCTAAAAACTCTACTCACATGTGATATAAGGAAGTCAAAATAACAACTGGGCTTGCTTTCCTCACTGCTTAAAATCGAGAATACTTCCAAGCTTCTACCTGATAGTGTGAGAAAGGGCTTCCCTAATCCTCTTAACACTAGCACATAGAATCTTACATTTAAACTTTAGTTTAAATGTATAATCAAGGCCAAGACCATAATAGAAAGCAATGTTAACCAGGTTACAGAGTTAGCACAATATTTTTTAGTCCTTAGGTTTAAGTAATCTAAAATTATACTGTTAGAGATAAATGGTACAGAGAAGCTTAGGAGAAGTGAGTTTGTAAGAAATGTAACCTTTACTTCAACATTAAAAGCCAAAATAGTTTATAAAAATGACTGCTTTTTAGAGATAGGTAAAGTGTAGTGAGTATGATGTGTGGAATTATTTTCTGCCTTTCTTTATCAACCTTTCAATTCATAAAGCTACAAGTTCTTGATCTAAGGCAAAGCCCTTTACACTATTTAATTGACACACTTGTTACTATTTAGACTATCATTTGATAATATAGAGTACTTAATGCATAATTCAACTTATTTTACCTTCATTGCAATTCTACAACATTAACATGTTTTTCCTTTTTCCCACTTTGGAGGATGAAGTAACTTTCACAATTTAATTTAAGCAGTTTCCTTATCACAGTGACTCTATACACCTGATCATACTAACAAAAATAATCTGCACCCTGCAACTGCCCCTTCTTACCTGGAAGTTGTGATGAAAGTCCTCCAATACCACTGAAAGCTGTTGTCTGATTTGGGGTTGAAAGAGGTGGAAATGCTTTTGCTGGTGATTGAGGGGTACTGAAGGCAGAACCCAAATTTGGAGGAAAACCCTGCATACTCTGGGTGTGAGGGGCAGCTGAACCACCTATACTAAGAGATGCCATTCCAGCAAGAGGGTCAATCTAAAGAAAAACATTATAAAAATATATTAAACATACCTCAAGTGAAAACATATGACACAAAAATAAAGTAATTTTTAGCAAACTTCTTTGAATTCTTAAGGTGCAAAACTTCACACAAATCATGATATTTAAGTCCTAAAATCAAGTCAGACATGTTGGTCTTTTTTTTAAATGCTATTAATATATCATACATAGAGTACATTTAAAGAGTTATTAGCCCCTGCCGAAGCATGAGAGTAACAATGAAGGTTACAAACTTCAAGAATAACATTTAAGATGAACTGGCCCATGGTAGGTAGTACTACTAAACACTTAGTAGTGACATGGGACAGTTATTAGGCTGTTAACAAATTGCAATAATCCCTTTTGAAACAAACAAAAAATTCTCATGGTATGTTATTTTATTTTCAGCACCATACAAGCATTAAAAATTATAAATCTATAAATCTAGTCTAAATTTGAGAATCCTGGGTTTGAAGAACAGTTCTACTTAAAAACAAAACAAAACAAAACAAAACAAAAAAAAAAAACAAAAAACAAAAACCAACCAAAAAGGTATGCTATTAACCAAAAGATTTAAAAAAAAAAATATTAATACCTGTATTTCCAAGTCTCCTAGTTTATATTTTTAGCACTACTTCAGACCTTCGCAGCTATAGAAAATGATAAGCAAAATGCCTTTTTATGAAGTGGTCACTGAAGAATCACTAAATACCTTCCTTTTCCTAAGACCCATTCTGACTGCCATTCAATGCAACTGAAAATAGAAATGGAATATGTTGCTCCCAGAAAGAAAGGGATGGTTGGTGTCAGGGAGTAACTGAAATGTACCTGGTTTTTAAAAGAGCAGTTCAGTTGAAAGCTGAAGAGCCCCAGTTATAACAAGTCCTTATGCTCTAGCACTGCTGCTTGGCCCGTGAAGCTATAAACAAGACATATCAGGTTCAAAGGCAGTGCTTATTTCTCAAGTCTAGTTATACTCATTTTAAAAAGAAATCCTTACCATCCACCTAAAATAATTTGGTTTGTATCTTTCCTCTCAGTCACGTTCTATTTAATGATTAAAATCTATTCTCAACTACAATGCCTATTTATGGATCTCCTTTAAAATACAGGAGTGATTCAAGACATGCAGTTAAATAAAACATAATCAATTCAAAGTGGCCTTTGAGTAGGTTATTAATGATGATGTAGAAGTTTATTCTATATCAAGTCTACGATCAAATGCAAATTTACCAATTGTGGTGTTCATTTACCTGAACTGGAGAAATGGCATCTAAGCTGCTAGCACTAGGGGGTCGTCCTTTTGGCATTACTCCAGGTGGCGGTTGTCTGGCCTTGTTCATGACATTACTGCAATTGGCAACCATGGTGAGGATGGTTTCTGATAACTCCTGAGAAACACTCCTAAAGAAAGAAGTTAAAAATATCACTTGTTATTTCCCCACAACACCTAGATAAACAAAAATGCTTTTCTAATAACGAAAACTTGCTAGAACACATGACAAAATTTCTACCATATCCGGTGTCTTTCCATCTATCATCAATCATTAGGAATTTCTGGTTTTCTCTCCAAAAGTATCTAATTTGCATCTCTGATACTACACCTGTGTACAGTACAACCAATACATTTTAAAATATTCCAAGAGGGGCCTCCCTGGTGGCGCAAGGGGTTAAGCATCGCACTATGAAGCAATCCACAGCCTCTGCAGCACGAGTTCAATCCCCAGCTGGCCAAGGAGCATCCCGCATGGTGTAGCAGACCTCTCCTGTCTCGCCTGCTGCTCCCCTCAGCAGTGTATTTCACTCAGTCTGCCTGTTCTGTTCCCCATTCTGTCTCTGGTGAATCCTCTCACCCTCTGCATCTCTGGTCTGTACCCCAGCTCTTGTATGCATAGATAAATCTTTAAAAATAAATAAATAAAATATTCCAAGAAACATGCCATACCCTTAAACACTTTATTTAAAATTTTGTCAAAACATGAACATACCAAAGGAAACACAGTAATTTTTTAATACTGGCTAATATAGTCAAAGACAGCTTTAAAATGCCATGCACATAGTAACTACATTTGGTACACAGAGAAAGAACTGAATGATCCTTAAAATGTAACAGTAGGAAATAGAAAATTGATCTTTCTATCTTAGGGTATTGCTGTCTCAGAAAACTATGGAACCCCTGTACTCATAAAATTTACCAGAAATTGGTATTGTCTTAGATCATCATGCCTTCTAAAATTTACAAATCTTACTACCTGCACTAAAAGTAAAAGCAGTCACTCAGAAAAGCAAAGTTGTTTCACATTTAAAAAAAAAAAAAAAAAGACTAGGGTGTTAAAAGTACCAAATAAATGTTTACATTAAATCAACACAACAAAATATGCAAAATTTTTACTTGTGACAACATGAAAAAAACAAGTATACAAACATGGACTATGAATAATGAGTACTTTTTCACTCATTAAATTAAGGAAGAAAAACATTGACAGACAAGAGAAAACTGTGATATCTACTCCTAAAAGGTATGGGTCTACTCATTTACCTTTTAAAAAAAAAAGGGGGGGGTGGGAACTATTAATTTCCAAAACATATTTAAAAAAATTACAGGTATTTAAAATATTAACCACACAAATAGCTCTCTCTACCATCATTTCAAAATGTTACCTAGGTTCAAAATACTTGCTCCTTTCCTGCAATTAAAACTTCCGGGAAAAGAGCCCTCCCTGGTTAAAGTCTCAGCACTTTCAAGCTACTGCCAGTCACTGTGGCAAGAGTTTGAGCCCTGGCCAGGGAGGTAACTCACATGGAGCAGCACATCTCTCGCCTCACCCACTGCTCCCCTCAGCAGTGTGTTTCAGTGGATCCACCTGTTCTGCTCCCCACTCTGTCTCTGGTGAATCCGCTGACCCCAACTCTGGCCTAGACCCCAGTTCTTCTATGCATAAATAAATAAAGCTGCTTAAAAATTCATGGAAATACCATGTTTCATGTTTCAGATTAGCATATCCCCCATCAGCAGAGCTAAGGGAAACAGGCATTCACACTACTGGTAGTTATACAAAATAACAGACTTCCTGTGGAGGAAAATTTTGCAGTATCTAACAAAATTATACATGCATCTCCCATTAACCCAACAGTTCCACCTGTAATGGTCACAAATGTACACCAACAAAGATGATAAATATAAAATACTATTCAATGCCATCACAATTTGTAAGAGTGAAGACAATCAGAATGCTCACCAATCAAGACTTGTTCACTAAAGCACAAAATATCTATCCTATGGAGTACTATGCAGTGATTAAAAGGATTAAAGAAGCTCTAATTCTATGGAATGAACTACAGAATATATGATCAAGTGAAAGAAGAATAACACAATAGAGCATATATTTTCTACATACAGGGAAGAGGGAAACATGCAAACAGGTGTGTATTTTTTAATGGAAAAATGTTAATAAAAAAAAATATATATATACCTAATATACCTTACCTATAGAACAGAGAAAAGATAAGGAAGATGTCTCTAAATGTACCTCGTTGTACAGTTGACTCTGAAACCGTATCTGTTATAGCATAAAAATAAAACCAACCAAAGACAAAACCATATAAAATTAAAAAAAAAAATTATTCCAGGATGCCTATGCTACAGCAATAGATAACCATTAATGTGTTAAATTGAATCTGAAATGTTATGATAAGCCACATCATTATATACTATACAAAAAGAAAATAATTTGGCTAACTATAAGAGCTAATCAATGAGATGCATTATTTCAGAAATATTAAAATATTTAAAAAGGGGGCCTCCCCTGGTGGCGCAGTGGTTGAGCCCTGGGTTGCAAAGCTGCCCGCAGCCTCTGCAGCGCTGGTTCGATCCCCGGCCTCCGGCGAGAGTCCCACATGGCATGCAGACCTCTCCTGCCTCGCCCCCTGCTCCCCTCAGCAGTGTACTTTGTCAGTCTGCCTGTTCTGTTCCCCGCTCTGGCTCTGGTGGATTCTCTCACCCTCCCGCGCTTCTGACTATATCCAGTATAAATATATCTTGTATAAATAAATAAATTAAATTAAAAATCTTTAAAAAAAAATATTTAAAAAGGTGAGTATCTTAGAATTGCTAAATTTGGTCAATTAAAATACTATTCCTTACTATTTCAAAAAACTAATGTTTGACACAATACCAAACTTAAAAGAGGAAAAATACTGTAAGGAACTCTCATAAACACTTCACTCACCAATTAGTTTATTTCCCCAAGAGTATAACTGCTCTTGCTATATTCCCTACCTTCTTCCTGCACCCATACCTCCTCCCCCAATTTTAAAAATTTAGAGGCAATATTTATCCCTTATCTCTAAATATTTCACTATCTATTTCCTAAGAATAAGGTCATTTTCTTACCTAACCGCAGTAATAAAGACTGGGAAGTTAGTAACAGTGATAAATAAAATAGGCCACATTCAAACATCAGTAGTGATGTCCTTCAGTACTATTTTTCCCTTGTATCAGGATTACGCCATCATGTGGAGTTATCACATGTCTTTAGTGTCTTTAATCTGGAAGAATTCATCAGTTTTTGTCTTTCTTGAAAGCTTAATTTAATTATTTCACAGCCCATCTATAAAATACAGACATGTAGACAAAAGTGTAGTACTGATTTGAATTTGTCTAATATTTCAAATTCAGGTTATGTACTTATGACAGGCCTACCGTGTAAGTTACACTTCTTCTTCTCAGTGCATTTTATCATAGGGCACATGATATACCATTGAAGTAGAATACGCTAGATTTGAACAAGTTAGTACTCCCCCTCCTTTTTGATTATTAAATAATTTGTAGGGTGATACTTTGAAATTATCTAATTATCCTGTTTATCAAATATTCACTCCCAACTTTTAATATCCACTAAAGACTATACCCCACATTATAATTACTTCCTGTTATCAATTAGTTAGAACTCTCCCTCTTTGATATTTATTTTTTGAAAGACAGGTACTTCTAATATATAAATGGAAGAATTCTAAACCCAGAGTTGAGTAAACTGCTCTACATATAAATGGAAAACATCTTACCCAATTTTAATAACACATAGTTTTTCAAGAAAACGTTAAATTCCAGATAAAAATATATAAATGTGAAAGGGAAAACTTTTATTAAAGTTAAAAATTTTAGAATATTTAGAAGCTATATAGCAAAGTTTCTCAACTATGGCACAATTAGCACTCTGTTCTGGATGAAATTTGTTGTGGGAGTCTATGCATGTTGCTTAGCGGCATCCCGGGCCTCTAATCTAGTAGGTAATGATAGCACAATTCTCTCCAATTATAAGAAAAACAATGTCAAATGACTTTGAGGGAGCAAAATCACCCCCGGTTGAGAAACACTACTTTAAAGACAAACATGTGAAAAATGTGGTTTGCTTTTTTTTTATAAACAAGAAAAGGTAAAAAATTTCGCAATCTATGTGGGAAGGGTGAGAAAACAAGATTAAAAAAATGACAAAGGTAACTTTCAAAAAGGTTACTTATACTTTAAGTTACTCAGTAGAATCAAAGTGTTCATTTCATTATGCTTCATATTCTACAAAAAAAAAAAAAAAAAACATAGGACTTAAGCAAAAATGATGGAGTAATAATCTCCAAATATTCTCTCCCCCATAGAAGAAATTTGAAAACTAGCAAAAGTCAGAGGCAACTTTTTCAGAACTTTGCAAATTAACCAGGGCCTCCCCGGTGGTGCAGCCATTGAGCGCTGGACTGTGAAGCTGCCCGCAGCCTCTGCAGCGCCAGTTGGATCCCTGGCCGCTGGACGAGGGGTCCACATGGTGCGCAGACCTCTCCTGCTGCCCGCTGCTACCCTCAGCTGTGTACCTCGGTCCTTCTGCCTGTTCTGTTCTCCGCTCTGGCTCTGGTGAATTCTCTCACCCTCCCGCGCTTCTGACTGTACGCAGTGCTTGTATAAATA